GTGATGTCGCCAAGTATCAACCCCAACGATCTCCAAGTCTCCAATCCGGTGAGTACCACAGTCTCATACCACCGAAGTCCAACACTGATCTCTGTCCAACTAGTATAGGTCTCTGGTCTGAAGAAGAAGAAGAAGAAGAAGAAGAAGAAGAAGAAGAAGAAGAAGAAGTCTGAAGAGAAGAAGAAGTAGGAGCCGAGGAGGAGAGAGAGAGAGGGGACTGGCGAGGGGAGGGAGGAGAGAGGCCTCCGACTCCCGATACCTCAGGCGGCTATGGCCGCCGGTGCACTCAGTCGCCGCTGCTGCTGCTCGCTCGCTACTGCTGCGCTAATGCTGTGCTGCGCTGCGCTGCTCCTCGCTGCTCCTGCGCTAAAGATAGCGCCAACGCTGATTAGCGCTGTACCATACCGTACCGGTAGAATGCCGGTAGGTCGATCCTGGACTGAGGCTGGACCGGTTCTATATACCAGTGGGGCAGAGGCCGGCCTCAATGCTGCGAGGCCTGGCCGTGCCCTGAACCGTCCAGATGGACGGTTCAGCCCCAACCGGCGGGCGGCAGCCTCAAGAGCGCCGCCAGGCCCAAACGGTAATGTCGTTTGGGCCTGCCCGTCGGGTCTGGTCCAAGGTGAGGCCTTTATGGCCTGTAGTACCCCCAAGGTCGGGCCTTTAGGCCCTGATGTGTCCCTCTAGCCCTAAGTCGGGTCCGGTAGGACCCGTGTGGCGTCGAAGATGTAACATTTGAGTCTACTCTGCAATTGCATGCGTGAATGGGAACGTGTGAAATTCGTTGTGGATTGAAGCTCGATCGGGTACATAACATGTCTCTCCTCTACCGTCTCCTCTGCTTCTTTGGTTTGGCAGTATCCCCCTTGCTTCAAGGACATCAGTTTCTGGATAAGCGATTCTTTCACCGAGAACAATCTTTGCGAGGTTGTGAGGGCGGCGGCGGGCGACTTGGCTGAGGAGGTATGTATGTATGCAGGCGTCCGAACCTGGACACGGGTGGTTGTGAACCTGGTCGGGAATTCATTCATTCGCAGAACTTTAACGACTTATTTCAAGTCATTTGTGCACCTTGCCGAAGTGTCGTTTTCCTTGCCTGATTGACATGTTACGGTCAGCACTTACGCGGTCCAAACTCTGACCTGCATAATACGGAGCACCTGGTCAGAGTTGTGTTTTTTTTTTTTGGGTGACTGCGTAAGTGGCGTTTTACCTGGCTGATTGACATGTTTGCCCTTGCCTTCTGTTTTTTTATACTTTTTTATACTTTAAAGCATGGCTACCATCCGGACATCCGGACAGGCGTTCAGACGGTCTGCTGGTGTCTGGACGCCGGACCGTAGGAGGCCCGTCCGGAAGGAGCCAAAACCCCGAAATTCAAAAAAAAAAGGGCCACCCTAGACCTGTTCCTTGGGTCCAGGGCGCCCCTTGAAAAATGTTTCTATGATTTTTGGGGCTGGTATCAGCCGTACAGGGTGGCCGGACCGACCCCTTCTCTATTTACATTCTGGGCAGACTGTTGGAGGCAGAGCGCAGTTCCCCAGTGACAAAGGGAAGAAAGGGCGGATCTAGGCACTTCAGAGTGCTTTCTCGCCCACCTGCCACCGCCAGACACAAGCACACGCTTCACACAGGGAGAGGGAGAGAGAGTCCTCGTTACCGTTTTGGACTGGTGCGCGCATGCAAGAGTGTGTGTGTGTGTGTGTGTGTGTGTGTGTGAGAGAGAGAGAGAGAGAGAGAGAGAGAGAGAGACACTGCCACACACATGCACACACTCACACAGAGGGAGAG